GGATGGATGGATGGATGGATGGATGGATGGATGGGAGGGAGGGAGGGAAGGAGGGAGGGAAGGGGGAAGGAAGGAAACATTTTTGTTTACCTTTATACCTCATTTCATACTCTGCAAAATATTTTCCCATCTCCTATCCCCAGTCTCATCTTAACAGAAGCCCTATGAGGGAGCCAGAATTATCACCCCCATTTTGTGCATGGGTAAACTGAGGCAGTTTAAAAAGTAGCTTTTCTGGGGTCACAAAATTGGTTGGTGGAGGCACGCGGAAAGGAATCCATGACTCCAGCCCCTTTTCTCTGCCTCCTGCCACCTCCCAGTTGCTTTTGTTTTTCTTTCTGATCTGCCTCTCTCTCTCTCCTGACTTGGTTTTTCTGTTTTTCTCTTTCTACTTCAATTTCCCTCTTCCTCGTGCTCCAGCCCTCAGCCTGGCATCAGTTTTGCAAGCTGGCATCAGTTTTACAAGTCCTCCCCCCCTCCTGCCCCCGCTCAGCATCTCTGCACAGAGAAAGCCCTTTCCAGATGCCAGGGTGCAGAGATTAACTCTGGGAGCCACTCCTGGCTTCTCCATCTGGCCCCAGATAAGATAAGGGTAGGGATCAGCACTATAAACAGGCTCCCATCCTTCCCCTGGCCCAGGCTTCAGCTAGCTGAGCCCACATCAGCCCAGGATCAGCATGGCTGTCCGTATGTGGGTGGTCGCCCTGGCCTTGGCTGCCCTCCTCGTTGTGGACAGGGGTGAGTGGGCAGAGCTTGGATTCTCTGTGGTTTGGCATTGGTAGGTGAGCTTGAGGTGGGGGCAGAGGATGGGCCTGGAGCACCCTGTGAGGCCTGTTTTCTGCATGTAACGTTTTTCTGCACCCCTCCACCATGGTGGGGAAAGTCCTGGGCTAGGAGAAAGGAAATCTGGGTTCAATTTCTGACTCTGGCCTAGGATTGCAAAAATCCTTTCCCTCTTGGGGCTGTATTTCTCCAGCTGTAAAGCAGGAGACTGTTCTAGTTCAAAGTTGCAATGAGCAACTACTGGGCTAGAGATCAGGGGGGCAGGAAGGAGCTGGCCTATCTCAAGGGCGATATACAAGTCTGCTGGCTGCAGGGTAGTGGGTCCTGAAGGAAGCCTAGCCTGGGTCCTCTGAGCTTTTAACCACTCTGACAGGCTATCACTGTGGGACTGAGAGCAGCCATGTAAGCACATGGGAGCCCTCTTCCTGGGAGCTTCTGCCCCGGATTGGACACGTGCAGCTGAAATGGGGTCTCCTCAGGGCTTGGGGCACCTCTGCAGTCTCACACATGCTGTGTATAAGGGATTGTTCTCATTGTTCTGGGCCCTTAGGACATATTAGTGAGTGTAAATCCAATGGGGGGTGGGGGGGGTGGTGAGGAATAAACAATAAACAAGATAGGTGTAATGTATGTTAAATAGTATGTTAGAAGGTGATAAAGGCTAAGGGAAAAAATATGCGGCAGGATGATGGGGTTTGGGATGGGGTTGTAATGACAAGTCAGGGGAGTTTTCCCTCAGAGGCTGATGTTTGAACAAAGCTTCAAGGAGGTGAAGTGAGCCATGTGAATATCTGAAAGAAGGTTCCAGGCAGGGGAAACAGGCAGTGCAAAGGCCCTGAGGTAGGAGCATGCCTGGAGTGTTTGAAGTACTATAAGGAGGCCAGTGCAATCGAAGGGGACTGAGAGGCAGGGTTCAGAGTGCTGGGACAGGGGACTAGAGGCAACCAGGAACTGTAGTGCGTAAGGCCTTGAAGGCCAATGTGAACTTGGCTTTTCCTCCGAGTGAAATGGGAGGTAGTGAAGGTTTTTCAGGAGAGTTATGTTGTAATAGGTTCGCTCTGGTTACTGTTGAGAAGACTAAAGGGGGAAGCAGGGAGGCTACTTAAGACCCACCTCGACAAAGTCATGATGCTACAGGGCAAGGCCTTCAGGACATCAAGGCCATTGACCTCATGGCCAGTCCTACAGATATTTCCCCAGTTGGGGGACACAGACCCAGAGCCTGGGGCCTCTGGCCCAGTACAGCCTGCTTACTCCCAGCCTGGCTTCCTTTCCCTGAGTACTTCTGTTGGGAACACTGAGGCAGCCTGCCCTGTAGAGAATCCATGTGCCCATTTCAGATTCCTGCCTTGGCTGAGTGAGGAGACACCTTGGGCCAAGGTCAAGGGCAGCCTGGGGAAAAATACTTCTTCCCACATCCTCCAGGAAAAAACTCTGACACTACAGGGTTCTGAACTCTTCCCCACAAAATGCAATTTAATGGTTAATTCCCAAACACTCACTGTATGGGGGAATTGCCACATGGAGGCAGAAGCAAGAGCCCCAAGGAGCTCAGGCCCATGGGAAGGCAGCAGTGACCCAGTGGGACAGCACACAGTGGCATGGAAGACGGTGCTATGGTCTGAATGATTGTGGCCCCCCAAATTCATATACTGAAATTCTAACCCCCAAGGTGATGAGAAGGTAAGTCATGAGGCTGGAGCGCTCATGAGTGGGATTAGTACATTATAAAGAGGCTCCAGAGAGCCCCCTAGACCATTCTACCATTGAGGACATAGTACAAAGGCACAGGATATGAACCAGGAAGAAGGCCCTTACCACACACCAAATCTGCGGGCACCATGACACTGAACTTCCCACATCCAGAAATGTGGGAAATAAATGTGGGGCTTTTTGTTTTTTGGGGTTTTTAAATTGTTAATAGTTTATCTGAGCCAAACTCGATGACATATGCTGGGAGCAAGATCTCAAATGCTCCCCAAATGTTTGGATATCAGGGAGGGCTTCTCTGGAAAGTATATCTGAGCCTTGAAAAAAGGGTATGTGTCAATAGGAGAAGGGGAATAAGGACATTTCAGGCAGAGGGAACAGTATGTGCCAAAGTAGAGCCTGTTCTAGGAAGAGTAGGCTGTGATGTAGCGACATGGAGAGGAGTGCTAGGAAGTGAGTCCAGGGACAAGTTTGGGAGCAGCTCATGCAGAGCCCTGAACATAAAATGAAGGAGCTTAGTGATCATAACAGGTAGCCTAGAAGGGCTTTATATTTTTTTAATGCTTTCTTTGTCCCCTAACAGTTACCATGAAATGCACAGATCTTATCACTCAATGAATTTTATTGAATGAATTTTGACAAGGCATATAAATGTGTAACCCTGACCACTATCTAGATACAGAACATTTCCATTGCCCCCAGAAATTTCCGTGTCAATCCTCATCCCGGCCCCATCCCCAGAGGCAACCACTGCTCTTTATGCTACCATAGGTTCTCTTGGCCTGTTCTAGAATGTCACATAGAAAGCTGCATTTATTCCCCAGGCTGCCCCTTTACCTTGACCCAAGGTGCCCCCCTCCACACAGTATGTATAGTCTTTTGTATCTGGCTTCTTTGGCTCGGCATGTTTTTGAGATTCAGTCATGTTGTTACATTATCAGTTGTTTGCTCATTTTTATTGTTGAGTTGTATCTCACTATTGAAGAACACTTGGTAATTTCCAGTTTTGGAAATTATGACATGGACAGGGTTTTGGGCAGTGTGGAGACAAGGCTAGATTTGCATTTTGATGCCCCAACGCCAGGCTTAAACAGCACATCAGAGGTCCCTTAGTCTCTCTTTTCCCTCTTTACCTCGGAAATCTCTTATAATAGCATTATCAAGAGAAGCTAAAACCACAGTGTCTTGTACACCTCTAGTGATGGAGAACTCTCCACTTCTGGAGAAAGTCCCCTTCATTCAGGTATGTATTCTCAATGCTTGGCACATATTAACTGTTATTTTTATTATTACATGGGACATAATTCCAGTGGAATCTGACTAATAAGGAACAGGCTGGACTATTCTTAATGCTAGACTTTTTGTCTCTGTTCATGCAACCCAAGGTCACATCAGCTTCCTGGGAGCCTCACTGTCTGGTGACTCACTACCTTTCCTTGAGGAATTTGAGATTGACTAGTGGCAGAAACAGGTCCTCCGATGAAGCAGTCCTCAGATCCCTAGACCTGGGGCCTAGAGCAGATATCACCTAATTCTTGCTGTTTTGCCTTTCAGATGTGCCAGTGTCAGCAGAAAAGCTCATTTTCTCAAGAATGGTAAGGCAGCTGCTTGCAGTTCTGGTCTTCCCTCTATAGAGGGGAGCCCTCCCATATATGCTGGAAAACCAACGTTTTTTTCCTTTATACTCCTGCTCAGATAACTCCCATCGCTCTATGGTGGTCAGGGTGGTCTCCTGAGCCCGTATGTTCCCCAAGCTAGCCCTTCCAGGCTGAGCAGGTCCAGCCCCTTTGCCAAAGTTCCAAAACTGGCATCAAGGCCCCTGCCAGCAGTGAGATTCCCCCCACCCAGGCTCAGCAGGATCAAGTGCACTCTCTGCTTTGTACAGTGCAGATGGATAGGCTGCAAGGTCCAAGCCAAAGAGGTGATCCTGGCACACTGAATGGCCCTGCAGAGATGCCAGCCTCTTCCAACCATACCCCATCATCTATCTGTTCCTTCACTCTGATGCAGAGACATCAAGTTCTCCCTGAACCCTGATTCCACCTTGGCCCTGGGCTTGAGGCAGTGGTGGTGGCCTCCTGGAGACCCTCAACACACCCTTCACATAGGTGAATGAGAGGTTCAAAGCCACCTACCCATCCAGCAGCCTCAGCATCTTCACTGTCAACCCATCAGAACCCAGCTCCACTTGCTCTGTGCCAAAGAGCCAAATACTTTCCATACATTATTTCAATTACCATATGTGAGAAGACTACTATTATTAGAGTATTTGCAGATGAGGAAACTGAGGCTCAGAGAGTAGATGTACTCACCCAAGTTTACACACCTATTCAGTGAAGAACTTGGGTCTCTAAGGCCTAGGGCCTTCACTGCTACACCACACTACCTCCCAGCCCTATCCCTATCCCAGGCCCTGATCCCATCCTGAACCAGTTCTGAGTGACCTCAGGCCTGGCCTGAAACCCCTTCAGACTGAGCCTCAATTAAGTCCCAAGCCCTGTCTTATTTCTCCAGCTTTCCCATACCAGGGACAGGATAGGTTATGCAGGCCAAGGTGAGTTCAGGAGAGCCCCAGGGGAGGAAGGGCCTCCTGGGAATGATGGGTGGTTCTATCTCCTGGGGTCCACAACGGAGCCAGCAGCAAAGGTTCCAGTTAGACCCTCTGAGGAGTGTATGAACCTATCCCTAGGAGCTTGGGGGCACACACTCACTCCACACACATAGACATAAACACAGGTACACACTCATCCAAGTGTGCATATTTGGGCTCAGCAGACACAGGTACACACTAATGTATATATAGCCACAGACACAGTCATGCAGGTCTACACAAACAAATGTGCCAGGGCCCTGAGTGGTTGGTTTCATGCTCACCGGACTCACACTGGGGCCTTTGAATCTGGCTCCTCCATGGGGCTCCAAGCAGAGCCCCTGAGGTCCTCCTCACTGCCTCTGAATCCTTGAGTGACCTCCCTCCCGTCTTCTCTTTCACAGCCCATCTGTGAGCATATGGCAGAGTCTCCAGAGTGTTCCCAGACATCTAACCCAGTCTGCGGCACTGATGGGGTTACATATGACAGTGAATGCCAGCTTTGCTTAGTCCGGATGTAAGTCTACTCCCCATTTTTCCCTATATTTGCTTGTGTGGGGAGCCATCTCTGGTGCATACAAGTCTGAAAGGAGCAAGACTTGACCTGCCTCTTTCTTCAAACACACTTGACCTGGGAAGAATCCTCCAACATTTTCCTCTAACAGAATGAGCACAAGTGTAATTCATGCACATGGTTCCAAGCAGAAAGCCACAGCTGGTGGGGGGTCAGGAATGAAGGCAAAAATCCTGGGTCCTTTTCCTTGTTCTGACCCTAACTGATTAGGTGGCCTCGTTTGATTATTTATTCATCCAGTCAACAATTATTTATGGAGCACCTACTATGTGGTAGGCACTGGGGATACAACAGGGCATAATAAGCTAGACAGCATCACTGGCCTTCGGGGGCATACAGTTAGTCTAAGGTGGAAGCCAAGCTGATGGTTAGCCAACTGCAGAAAAGAATGCTAAAGGCTCAGATGGGAGCACACAGGGTTCTGCGGGTACAGGGCAAGGACAGGGAAGATTTCCCAGCTCTGAGGGATAACTAGAAACTAGCTATGAAAACGAAGAAACAAGGGAGGTAATTCTAAGTAGAGAAATAAGCTTGGAAAGATCTAGAAGGGAAAGTTTATATTTGAGGAAATATAAGAAGTTGGATATGCTGAAGTATAAAATTTAAAGAATAGAGGAGAGGCAAATCTAGAGAGGTGGGCAGGGCCAAAACAAGATCTTGGTATGTCTGATCACCCATTTGGTCTCATGTCTTCATTAATAAGACCCTTGAGTAGGCCAGAGCTAAGTGAGATCATGGAAGAGAAGAAAGTCTTTGGAAGCTACAATTCTCTAGGCAGATAGGCAAGAGAGTAGCAGGACAGTCCTAACGATCATGACTAAACACTCATGATTATACTGGGGGAGAACTGATAGGCTGTGAGATTGTATGTGAGGGATGATGGGGGCAGGGAGGAGGCAAAAGCAACATGCTGGTTTCTAACTTGTGGGCGTGGGCAGTTGGTGGTGCCATGTGCCAAGATGAGGAATGGGGGGATATAGCAGGTTTGTGGGGTGATGATGTCTCTGGACAGTTGAGCCTCTGGGACAACCCAATGGAAATATGGCTTGAGTTTAGGACAAAAGTCTGGGCTGGAGATAGGTTTGTAGTCATTAGCATGCAGTGGTGACTGAAACCCCAGGAAGCTGAAATCTCCCAGGGGAGGGTATGCAAGAGGGAAAAGCTGAAGAAAGATGTGCTCAGGTACCTCTGAGATCTGCCTTGCACCATACACTGAGTGGGTGGGTAGGGCTCAGTAGGGTGTCTGGATGGACTGCACCAAGTCCCTGAAGGGCACATTACAGTTCCAAAGGAGGTGGCCTCATCCCTGTCTTCTGTGATCCTAGGAAAACCAAACAGGACATCCAGATCGTGAAGGATGGCAAATGCTGATCCCACAGGAACCTCATAAGCCATGAAGCTTTGGGCTGGAGAACAGTGGTGGGAGTGGGAAGGATGTGACATGAAATAAAAGATCCAGCCCAACCCACCAAGTGGGCCAGTATCTTTGGGGGCTTTGGGGAGGCGGTGTGATGGATCTGGCCCCATCTTCCATACTCTGAAACTTATGTCCTCTCCATCCCTCCTATGCTCCTCAACCCTGTCACATGCTCCCCTAGAGATCCCAGGTCCTTTTTCCCTTTCTGAGGTCAGGGTTCTGAGACACTAGCCCCTGGCTTTAGGGCTCTGTCTGCTCAGTGCTCCTGTCCGAATAAGGCCAAGAACCTAGGTGAGATCTATGCCCTCTGCCACTGCCAGGGTGCATGGCCCAGCTTAAGAATCCTTTGTGAGGGTTCCACAATCCCTCATGGCTTTCTCCCTGACNAAACACTCATGATTATACTGGGGGAGAACTGATAGGCTGTGAGATTGTATGTGAGGGATGATGGGGGCAGGGAGGAGGCAAAAGCAACATGCTGGTTTCTAACTTGTGGGCGTGGGCAGTTGGTGGTGCCATGTGCCAAGATGAGGAATGGGGGGATATAGCAGGTTTGTGGGGTGATGATGTCTCTGGACAGTTGAGCCTCTGGGACAACCCAATGGAAATATGGCTTGAGTTTAGGACAAAAGTCTGGGCTGGAGATAGGTTTGTAGTCATTAGCATGCAGTGGTGACTGAAACCCCAGGAAGCTGAAATCTCCCAGGGGAGGGTATGCAAGAGGGAAAAGCTGAAGAAAGATGTGCTCAGGTACCTCTGAGATCTGCCTTGCACCATACACTGAGTGGGTGGGTAGGGCTCAGTAGGGTGTCTGGATGGACTGCACCAAGTCCCTGAAGGGCACATTACAGTTCCAAAGGAGGTGGCCTCATCCCTGTCTTCTGTGATCCTAGGAAAACCAAACAGGACATCCAGATCGTGAAGGATGGCAAATGCTGATCCCACAGGAACCTCATAAGCCATGAAGCTTTGGGCTGGAGAACAGTGGTGGGAGTGGGAAGGATGTGACATGAAATAAAAGATCCAGCCCAACCCACCAAGTGGGCCAGTATCTTTGGGGGCTTTGGGGAGGCGGTGTGATGGATCTGGCCCCATCTTCCATACTCTGAAACTTATGTCCTCTCCATCCCTCCTATGCTCCTCAACCCTGTCACATGCTCCCCTAGAGATCCCAGGTCCTTTTTCCCTTTCTGAGGTCAGGGTTCTGAGACACTAGCCCCTGGCTTTAGGGCTCTGTCTGCTCAGTGCTCCTGTCCGAATAAGGCCAAGAACCTAGGTGAGATCTATGCCCTCTGCCACTGCCAGGGTGCATGGCCCAGCTTAAGAATCCTTTGTGAGGGTTCCACAATCCCTCATGGCTTTCTCCCTGACCGATCCAACATCCCAAGCCTCTCTCTCTCACATGCACACACACACACACACCCAACCACAGCTGATATTCAGGTAGTGTACACGGTACAACTGAACTGCTTTTATAATATTGAACTAGGTTTATAACAGTTGAAATAGCTGCTGCCTCAAGCCCTTGATGTCCTCCTGCACCCTTTTCACCCACAGCAGGATGACTCTAGATCCTGCTCTCTTTTGGTCAACATCCACTCTGACTGGTTGTTAAATATGTTGACATTAGACACAACCCCAGGCACACACAGCACACATGCACTCACACAATGGCCCATAGGAACACACAGCATTCAGAAATCTGACCACAAAGGCCCTGGCCTATGATATATGTCAAGTACCCCCTCTTTAGGCCAAAGCTTATAGGAGGAACCTCTTGATAATGGTGGTGGGGGAAAGAGTGTGGAGGGGCCTGGCTAGATGGGAGCATTTCACATGGACTCAGATTCCTGCTCTAGGGTGGGCAGATAAGGTAGAAAATTCTCTGTGGGAAAACACACATTTGAGAGGAAAGTAGGGGCAGAGAAGGCAGGAACCAACATTCTCTGAACCACAGAAATGGGAACCTAAGCAGGAATTGATGCTGACAGATTCACAACTATTATAGAGACTTTCACTACTGATATGTGTGTCTGACATTCATTCATTCTCCAAATATTTATTCAGCATCTATTATAAACCAGACAATGTGCTTGAAATATGCTGTTAACAAGACAAAGCTCCTTAACTCAAGGAATTTACAGTCAAGTATAAAAGGCAAATATTAAATCAAATAATCCCATAAATAAATCATCACAGACTATGATACATGCCGTGAAAGAAAAGTTATAGCAAGCTGTGAGGGAGGCTTGATATGTTCTCAGACAATCCATGGAAGAGAAATTGAGTTAAGTTCAGAAGAATAAATAGAAGTTACCTAGGAAAGGGGTGGCAGTGGTGGAAGAGTGGTGAGGAGCTGTCCAAACAGAGGAACAGCGTGTGCGAAGACCCCGGGGCAGGAGAGGGTACAGAGCAGTTGAGGACCTGAATGAAGACCAGAGTGGCTGACCAGAGAGCAAACAGGAGAGTGGCCCAAGATAAGATGAGAGAGGGAAGCCACTGGATGTTTTTAAGCAGGGGACTGACATGATTTGTACTTTATAATCACTCACAATGCTCCGTGGAGAGTGAATTGGAGAGGACCAGAGAGCAAGTGGGAAGAACAACATGGGAGAAGGGAGAGGAAGAGAAAATGAGAACATGCAACCCTGTGTCGACTGGGAGGCAGTACAATAGAGATTAAGAGCATGGACTCTGAATCAAACTGCCCAGCTTGGTGTCCCAGCTTCATCACTAACTCCACGACTTTAGCAAATTACCTAAGCTCTAAGTTTCCTCATCTCTAACATGGGCTAGGATCTGTCTACCTCCTAGGCTGTATGAGGATTAAATGATTAATACATCTAGAATATTAAAATAGTATCTGGCACACAGTAACTTTTCATTAAATATTATGGCCCCAGGTGACATAGCTACTACATAAAAACAGATAAGTACTGAACTGGTGGGATGGGATGGGCCCTGAGCTTCATCCAGTTGTCCATCTTATCACCACCTTGTTCTAGTCTCACCCACACAGTCCTAAATTCCTGGGACTGCAGTGATGCCCTCTCTGACAAATAAGGTTGGCCTCAGAGTGGCCTGCTGGGAGCCTGTCTCCTGGGCACTGTGTGAAAAATGGGGTGACAGCAGCTGACCAGTTTACGAGTTCTAGCATGCAAAACCATTCTCACCTTTATTAAAATTACTACTAGAACCACAGAGGCTTTTGCTTCTCATGCTTCATCCAAAAAAAAAAAAAAAAAAGTTTAGCCCTGGCTGGTGTGGCTAAGTTGATTGGAGCATCAGCCCATATACCAAATAAAAGGTTTCAGGTTCAACTCCAGGTCAGGGTGCATACGAGAGGTAACCAATCAATGCTTCTCTCTCTCTCTCTCTTCCTTCCTCTCTCTCTAAAATAAACAAACATATCCTCAGATGAGGATTTAAAAAAAAAATCTTAAAAAGTTTAAACACTCTTCTGCTTGCTGATGTGTATACAAACTACAAAGTTTAAAAAAAAAAGTGGTATGGGGTGGGGAAGGCCACAGACAGACAGGAACAGCCTTGAAGGAAATATAGATCTCAGGACAGTAGTTAACAAAACTCCTTTGAAGGGACTCCTGAGAAGTTTATGGTTGTCTTCACCCTCTGCCTGCTTTACTCACTCTGTTGCCCTCTCTGCCCTTCCTGAGCCATGGTTTTGACCTGGTATCAAGCAGAGACTATGTCAACACTAGGTTCTAACCCCCTACAGATTTGTTAGGGGACAAGGAAGCCCATACATCAACCACAGACACCCCCCCCCCC